AGTTGTCTGTAAAACGTGTGGGCAAGCACAGCATTGTATGCATGTGAATACAAGCAAGACAGACATCGACTGAACATATGGTGATGTATTAGTCTCTTCAGATGTCATAATTGATCCTCTTCTCTCATAGATGGGATTGGATTTGCTGAATTTCATACCACAGAATACAACTTCTTCTGGGACATGTGACAATACGTCTGCCTTCTTGAATCTGACTTTTGAGAAAACAAGGGTTATCTTCCGCTTTGCATTGGTAAGAATCTACAACAGAGCATGCAGGCTCTGCAGGACTTCTCACGTGGGGAAAAACTAATTGGGGCAGGTGCAACTACAGGAAGAGGAGTAATTCCTTTGTTTTTAATACTAGGATTTAGAGGCTTTAATACTTGGTAACTGTTGTGAGGAAAGAATACGTGTACGTATATACGCATATGTATAGACAGACTTTTTTTTGAATGGGAATTTCTTTTATATATTGCCTACCCTGAAAAGCTTCTTGCCCAAACTAGGAACAGTTCTGCTCTAGAAGAGGAATAGCCTGTGACAAATGGGCATCTCATCTGATCATGCAAGTCTGGAACTTGTTAGAACAGAACTTGTTAATTTTCTGTGTACAGCCCAAGCCACATGTGCTTGTCTTACGGACTGCTGTGATGGTTGGAAATCCTGTTTCCCACAGCCCTGCCCCAGTGCTGTACTAGAGCTGTGTACCCTTGAAGACTGAATCCACTGTGCTTGTCAGCTTCATGCTGCTTTTAATACTCATGTGATTAATCAAATGCGGTCACCTAGACCTGTGGCTATTAAATGACTCCCCACATCTCTCTGGGGTACCGAGCTGCTTTAAAGCTGTATCTGTAGCACAGGTGAGATCATTGTACGAGCCTGGTTAAGGCATGGCTGGGACTCTATCTTTAGTGTGGAGGTCAAGTCAGCAGTCTGAGGGGAGACAGTCCCCCTTTCTTTGCCTCCTTTCCCTTCCCCAGAGTAATTTTACCTAAGGTGCCTTCTGTAACTTTTCTCTCAAAGCGTGACTAAGCTCTTCCTTTGGATACTAATCCCAATTGTGGACTGTCCTTTGAAAACTTTCTTCAAAATGCATGCAGAATTGAACCGGAATGTTAACAGCTTATGTTGTACATCATTAGCTTAAGCGACAACTACTAGTTTGGTTTTGTGTGTTTTGTTTTGGTTTTGTTTTTTTTTTTTTTAAAGAATACAAGTACTGAAAAATTCTTCCTGCAAGGTGTGAATGTAAGCACGACTCTGCCTTCTGAAGCAAAAGGTAGGACTCCTAAGAAGTCTTTCAGTGACTACTACTAAAAATATTAAGGGTTGCCTGGGTTAAATAACGTGTTAGAAATGTTGGGGATGAATGCATTCAATTTAAGCTCTATGAGCTTACAGCTCCTGCTCTTCAGAATTCTGTAATCAGACTTTCTCTTACACAGTTCCAAAGTTTGAAGCATCGAACAACAGCATGAGTGAGCTGAGAGCTACAGTAGGGAACTCCTACAAGTGCAGCGCAGAGGAGAATCTCCAGGTCACGGACAAAGCTCTTGTCAACGTATTTAATGTTCAGATCCAGGTTTTCAAGATTGATGGAGACAAATTTGGGGCAGGTAAGAGGCTTACATTTGGTGGGAGGAGAACCTAAGATTTGTGAAGTGCGCTTTAATACAAACGTATAATATTCTGTAGTCAAATGTCAGCTTGTGGGTGCCATGCTTAGTCTCTGCATGTCCTATTACAGATGATGTGGGGGCTAGTGCGACAAGTATGTAAAAAGCTTTGAAATACGTAGGACTTGTTCCTCGTGGTCCAGAGAAGAGTTAAGGGAGAGTGTTTAACTTCCTCTCCAAACTATGTGCAGACAGTTGTATGAAAGGAGCAAAGTTCTGTCAAGTTACTGACTCTTTTAGTTAATGCTGTCCTTTGTGACTGTGGTTAAAGCAAAATGGCTGGGGGAGGAGTTGCATGGATATATTTATGATGGCTAAGCTTGTGCATAACAGTAACAGCTCTTGAGAAGGAAACTATTATTATAAATCTCCATATCATGCATGCAACTACTACTAGAAAGATTTCACCCTGCATTATCACAGTTAGTGGACTTGGCTCCCTTTTGATCAGTGGCACAAGCTAAGCTAGAAGTTAACCTGAGCCAGTTTTATCTGTGTGCTGAGTAGAAGCTTGAGTTCTGGACATAGGCACTACTGCACCAACAGATGGCTAACATGGGCCTTTTTCTCTCTCTCTCTTCAGTGGAAGAATGTCAACTGGATGAAAACAACATGCTGATCCCTATAATAGTTGGTGCAGCCCTTGCTGGTCTTGTTCTAATTGTCTTGATTGCTTACTTGATTGGCAGAAAGAGGAGCCATGCTGGATATCAAACAATTTAATGAGTTGCACTAAAACCCAGTGTAGATGAAAAGCAATTGCAAGAAGCTGGGAAAAAAACAACCCCACACATTTCCCCTGAGCTAAGATTGATATTGTAAGGGAACACCTTTTCTTGCAAATTGCTTGTTCTTAAAGTCTGCTTTATTAAATGTGAAATCATCTTGCAGCATTTAACTATGCACAAAAATAACTTCTGAAAATTCTGGTGTTTAATTTTGCTAACTAGTTTAAATATTTACCCACTTAGAAACAAGCTAAAAGTTTTTAAGGGTGCTTTCTTGGAATTGGCCTAAGGTCATGTCAGCTAAAGATTCCAGAGAGGGCTGTTGCTAATTCACACTGACTCAATTTCAGAACTTGTAACAAAGGGAAAAGGTTCATTCTTCATACTGCTGCCATCCAGTGATGATGTTAATTATACTGATGATGCATTTAAAGGAATTTAGTAACAACTGACAAAACTGAAATGTAAAATCTAAACTCCACCTTGTCTTTTAGGTGTGTATTTTTTACTAAGCTTTAAACTTGATGCCTGGCATATGCAGGGTGTGAACAAGGCAATACTCAAACCTTACAGGAACTCTTTATGATTGGACAACTCCCCTGTTTGATATATTTTTTGATGCTCTGCCAGCTTGTTAGGAGCTGGTACTTTTTTAAAATGAGTGTTATTTTTATTTACCTTTTTTTGTAAAGTGATTTCAGTCTCTTCTGTTGGAAGGTCCAGAGAGATCCTGTTACTGCACATGTGTACAATATAGATCTCAATCTGCTGATTCTCTTGCTTTAAACTTGGCTGGGGGGTTGTACACTTTAAGGATCAGTTCTTATGTATGCATTGCCTGTAACAATGCTAATAAAGACACTTTTTTTTCTGTATGGCTTAGTGTTGTTGATCACTTGAAAATGTTTGACCATTTGGTAAGTGCTAAAGTCTTGGTTCAGCTCTACTTGGGAAGCTCTAAACAATCCTTGGAGTTACATTAAACAACTGTTTAAGATTTTTTTTTTTTCCCTGTGGCACAAAGGTGAGGCTTATGTGTCTTCAGAATAGTCCTTTGTTTTGGACTTTGTGTTTGGAAACAGGTAAAGCTTCTGCCTATCAGTAACCTGAGATCTGGGGAAGTTAACTCTTCCATGAAATTGCTGCTTGCTGAGAAATGTCAGTATATTGGTCTACCCTGCTAAGCATTGCTTTCTGAAAGTGCTGTGAAGACAGTCTGTATAAGGACTGTGTAAATGACATTTTTTTTTTAGGTTTTATTTTGAAGTTGGATTCTTACCACAGTGTAGGAAACAAACACATCTGCTGAGATCTCTGTGTGTTGTCATGTGCTTGGAAAAGAACCTTTGCGTTTGAAGCTTCCCCGATTCCCTTCTGCAGTAGTGTTTTGGTGTCAACAGTACGAGCGACACGGGGCAGGACTAAGGAACACTGAAACATCGCACAGAACACTGTTCTTCTGCCAGGGAGAACTGAACACAGGGCAGTAAGGCCCATCTGCCCTGCTACCTTGAAGGTACCTGGAAAACTATGGATTTTGCCAGAGGTGAATAAACTAGTATTTCCTAATACCTACTGATGTACTAGAAGTATGGTACTGCTAATGCCTTACAATACAACCTCGCTGTCTGGTACCATAAAGGACGGGATAGCTTGGAATCGTACTGTTGAGTAGCTGTCTGCTAGTCTAGAAGAGCAGTTGTCTCCTCTGAAAAATTGTTCGGCTTTTTTTCCTCTGCAGAGGAACAAAAACTCAGTCTGCAGGGGCAGGGGAAAAAAAAAAAAGAGCCTTCTGTGACAAGGAATGAAGATAGCTTGGAGTTTAGTCTGAGCGTGGTGTTAAAAGGCGAGGATTTCCACGGTAGCTGTGGACCAGGGAGACCAAAAGGCACAAATTGGTGGCCTCCCTCCCTCTGCCCTCGCTCTCCCCGCGGCGGGGAGCGGGCAGGGCTTTGGCCACGAGAGGGCTCTGTAAGGACCGTGAAGCCCTTCGCAGTCCCGGCTGCTGCTTCCCTCTGTCCAGCGCCGGGGTGTTCGGACCTGCATTACGGTGCAGCTTTGGAACTGCCCGCTGTCTCACTCTGTCAAGGAAGAAGTCTGTCTGTGGCTAGCTTAACAAGTGTTTCTCCCAAAATTTTTAGGGACACGGGTATATGAGGATACAGCACCTCTACACGCAACCTCAGTAACACCAGCACGAAGGAGAAGTACAGCATCTACTTTCAGCATCTGTCCTTACAACAAAGTGAGAAATGCTACTTCCAGATTTGAGGCAAATTACTCAGAAAACCCTGAATAGCATATCAAATGTAAAGGGTGGTTATTTGCTGCTGCTTGCTGGAGCCTGGACTTGCACATGTTCCCTGCAGCCTTCACCTGAAGCACTGTTACACACTGCATAGAGTAACTGTTAGTGAAGGTAAAGATCACCTTCCTCATTGCTGTCTTGCCCTGTGCTTTGCCATATTTATTGATGTCCGTAAGTGATAGCAGTGAGCAAAAAGGAAGGTGCTTCTATTCTAGCCAACTAGTGGCAGTCAGGAAAGAGATCAGCTATTTTACTCTTCTCACACCAAGAAACAGGTTCTGACAAATTAAATTAATTTATTTTGTACAAACGATAGCGGTGTCACAGTTAATACAATAAGAAGGATATGTAATTTTGTACACCTGTTCTAACATTACAAAATGCTCTGAAAAGACAAGGACAATGACTGCTTTTTTAAAAGGAGTGTGCTGACACTGATCACATTCTACTCTGAAAATGCTTTAATCCTTTAAAAAAAACAAACCCCAAAAACCAACAGAACCACCCGTTCCAGTTACGAGGGATGACATACAGTACAAAGTGCTAACACTTACTTGAAAGGCAGGAAAAATTGGTCAAGTGTCAGTTAACTCATGGAAAGCTTAAAGTGTGCTTTAGTCAGTGCAAATAGAGGAATGTGTCAATTGCTGTAGTATCTGACCACCTGGTTAAATCTGGTGAGTTATCCCTGAGAAAGCAACTTCTCTCTGCAACTCTCTCGGAGTTTGTTGACTGTTGCCATGGACAAGCTTCCAGGGTCTGTGAATATTTTCTGGTGGCAAAAGGAGAAAATTCTCAGTTAAAATTCTGGCTTTGGACAACATGCTGGACTTCTCATGTAATTCTGTGATGTGTGAAATCCCTTTGAGATCTGTACTGTGAAAAGGCTTACTGCTGCTTGGCCTCCTTCTAACAGGGTAGCATCTTCATCCGCTCTGCTGTAAAGACATGGGAAAGCTGCTGCTCATAACAAGTGCTGCGCATTACACAAAAGCTAATCTGAATATAAGAGTCCAGTTAAAATTATTTTAGAAGGCATTTGTGGTGGTGGACAGCAGGCATATGTAGAATGTATTAGGCTATCCTGGGTAATGCTACAAAGCACCAGTGCATTTCTCATGTGGTGCTAGCATGGGTTGCTCAGGCTCTGGAACACATGCATACAACATTCAATATGTTCCTACTGTAAAAAAAAATCACTCTTAATCCCTTGCTGTACTGCCTTTCCTCTTCTTCTCTACTGAACTTTCTGGAGTAGCAATGTATATGGATGTAAAAATTTGAGGCATTTCAAATGCTGTGACATATATCTGTAATTTTTTTTTTTTTTGGCTTTGATTTGCTCAAGAACAATACATTTGTTTTCACAACTTCATCAAAAACTTTTGACTGAACAAAACTATGAAGCAAGCTGCAAGTTTATGCACTTTAATTTACAGTTAAGATGTATGGGGCCCTCAGTTTCCTGTAGCTGTTAACTGGCAATTCTGGAGATGAGATTACAATTGAGACAGCTTTAAACAGCGTTCCAGTAAATAAGTCTGCATTGCGTTAAATTGGAAACTAAGACTTTGTTCAGGGAAAGGGGGGCATAAAATATTCAACTGTCATCACCTCTACTGGTACCACTATCTGTACTGCTGGGGGGAACCACAAAAAAACGCCAAACCCAAAAGTATGTGTTTCAAAGTTACATAAGGACCTAACCTAAGTTGTTTACTTAATTGCGTTGAAAGCCCCCTCACTACAGTGACGAAGACAGTTTAAATAAATGTTCTACTCTGAGTAACTGCAAGAAATGGGTAGTTAATTTTCTAAAAACAGCTGCTGTAAAATGTGATGTAATTGGACGTAGAGGGGTGGGGGAGTCCTTCAAGAACAAACATTCGTATCAGCCTCTGAACTGGTATTCTCAGGGCAGTTAACATTTAACAAAACTCTTAGTCTAAACCCTTTATGGAATGGGAAAACCCCTCAAACATCTCCCTTCTAAATTAAGTTGTACCTGCTTTTCCTTTACTCCTTTAATTAAAAGGCTCACAAACACTAGTAAGTTAAGCTTATTTTTCTTCTATATGAGCAAAGATGAAACAACATAAATGACACCCTACTATGTGAGACCTATGCATAGAGCTCTGACAGGAGCAAAAAACTCTTTTGGGAGTAAAAGTCACCTACTGGGATGTAGTTTTGTGCATACTTAGCAGACGATAGTGGAGTTGGCCAAGTGATTTACGACAGATGTGTTCCTGTCTTGTTTTTTTGAGGGTTTTTTGCAATTAATGTCTTTTACATTCTAATCTTCTGAGTTAAGCTCTGAATATAGTGTTTTATACAGATTTGGCATCCAATCTATTAATAGTTTACAAGAATAATTCTTAGTTTGAAGATTGTCATCAGACTTGAGCATTCAACCTCATGGATTTTGTCTGGAAAAAAGAACTTGGTGCTACCTTTTTGTTCTTTGACTAGACATATAATGCTTTATATTCTGGCACTATGAAGATGTATCAGTGCAAGTTTAAAATTCACTTTGTGTCTATTCTACAATATTCTATTACAATTCATCTGAAAAAAAGCACAGGAACACCATGCACCATTCACTGAAAGAATGCACTAAAGTTATTTTCTCATCAGACTTCCTGCCTTAACTGGTAAAAAGGGCAAAAAGAATTTCTCTCCCTGTATGACAGATAATGTGAATGGCTTACTACATATGGATTTAGATGATAAGTCTTTTAAAACATTCTTTCTGCATTTCTTATATGCAAACGTTCTTCATCCTTTTGGCAATTCCTACAGCTACATGTCTCCTACCTGTATCCATCTTTTTGACTGAGCAAAACATTTCTAAGTCAGTCTTGTTTTTAATTTGTAACAACTGAAAGCTACAGAGAAATTTACCTGCATGAAGCTGTGACACTCGGTTACAAGTGTTCCTTTGGTGATCTGCTTAAATTTATCACAAATGTCAGGGAAATTCGTGGCTTCCAAAATAAAAGCTTGGTGTTGCTTAATCAACGTTAAGGCCACGCGGAAGATGATCTTTGACCCTTCATAGAATAAACAATCCCATATTCGGAGCACAGTCTGCAGGAAAGGAGAGAACTCAGATTAGAGCTTCTTGATTTCCAGTAGGTAATTGTTACTAAAGCACTACAAATGAAATAATGGTTATGAGTGTGTATTAAGAGAACTTTCTGTTACTGATTACCTCTACTGGAAGAATGTCAATGAACAAGCATATAAACCAGCGTGACACCACTAGGGTCCACATGACTCCGTGTCTTTCCATCAGCTCTGCCACAGCTGGAACTTTCATTTTCACAAGTTCTCCAAGGACTTCCTGATCAGTTTTCAGGCCCAACATTGCAGGACTGTAATAATCTTGGAGAGAAAGAAACCAAAATTCAGGAATCCACAGACATGATTTTTCCACAAAATCGAAGAACATGTCCTGTACAGCTGAGCAAATAAAGGCATGTTGAGCCTACAAATCCCAAGTTGGAGTAAATTAAACCATGCAATTAAGATGTCTGCACTGTGGCCATACAGCACTTCTGTTTCAGCCAAGGCTCTACACAAACACTTCATTTGCCTCCCAAAGTACCTTCTTTCTCTCCCATGTTTTATGGCAATTCATTCTTCTTTCCCAAGAAAGGATCATCTAGATAGTTTTTAACTACTAGTAAGACTCTTGTAGTTTAAGCTAATATTTAAACAGTTCAATGTAATCATGGCCTCCTTCCCATATGTGAGGGCTGCACACCTCCCCAGTCCCCACAATACCCAGATAGGTAACCAAAAAACCCCAAAACAACCTGTAGCCTTTAGACCAGGTTCAGACACAAAGTGGAAATGTGAATTTCTGAGTGCCAAGCTGTGCAGGGGTGCTGGAGGCCAGATACCACTTCTAGGGTATGACCTAGCGATTAAGAGTTTTTCTCTGAACCAAGGAAATCCCACTTCTCACAGAATAATTCCAAAAGGAAGTGAATGACAGGTCCCTCAGGCCACACCTCTTCCTACTTAATTTACCTGCAAGACCGGGGTTGAAACTGGACCTAGATATCCTGCACTGCTGGTCACTGCATTAAACTGTTAAATCCACAATTAATAAAACTGGAGCACAGTACGACTGTTACTCCACAGCCTGTTTGACAGGGTAAGCATTTTCATTACCAAGGTGCAGGCTGAATAACAGGCATCTCAGCTCTATAAACAAGTAGTTCTGGGAATACTTAAGGGAAGAAAAAAGATTCTTTTAGTTCATAAGAGTTTGGATGGCCCAGCAAGGGACAAGAGTTACAGAGATGCTTAAGGAATTCATATTCTTGGTTTAGATGTTGACAGAAACATTTCAGCTGGACTTGATGGTTCACTAGTACTTCGCTGACAAGACCTATTGTTATCAACATTATTTACTGAAAGAAATAACTGGTAACACAAGCACCTTTCTACATGTTTCTTTCCTTCACTGACTCCAGAAAGCTGTAACTCCGGTTTCTCTAACAGAGCTGGTTTCTGCCAAGGTTCCCAGACACACACAGCATAGGCCGATGGTTCACATGAACGTGAAGGAATCGGAAAGAGCGAAGTCCATTTGCATGAAATAATTTTAATCAAACCTCCCAGTGGCACAAATAAGTTTAAGATGATGTCCAAATTATGCAGTACACTTATAAACAATTTCTCTCATGAAATCACAAAAGCTGTTTAATATTTCACTCTTTTCTGTGTCAATGGTTTTCTTGAACAGACTTCCCACCCCAGGAGCTATTTGCTCTGCATTCATCCTGTCCAACCCGCAGAGAACGTCTACAGGAGTTTTTATGGTTCTAAGGACCACCGTGTTCAACCTTTAGGAATCTTAGCTTTTTGTCTGTGATCCTTATTTTCTCTGTTCCCACTGAAGAATGGCAGGTAAAGCTGCCCTACAGACAGTAAGAGTCACTGCCACTATATACATTCCTTTAACCATTTGCCTTCCAATTGCTTGCAGGGAAAAACTGAGAGCTAAAGCACAAGTAATTCCATGAAAAAATGTACTAAAAATAAATGGAATCACACCATGACCTCAAAGCCAAATCAAAAACCTCTCTTTCTCCATATTTTCTGTTAGCATTGTGCTCATATGTGAATTGGAACACAGGTAAAGTAACATTAACTGGCTGAATAATCCTTTTTTAAAATGCTGCTTTAACGTAAGTGAAAAACAATCACATTTCACATAACAGAATAAGCCTTCTTCCCTTTCCTACCCTTCCTTCTCCTCTCACACATCCACAAACGAATTTTTTTTTTCTTTTTTTGTGTTCCCGAGACATGTGAGTACTTAAAACTTCAAGTTGCCACTGGCGAGCGTCCTCAGGAGGAAGGACAGCAGCCCACACGCTCTCTGCTCTGCACTGCACTGCTGCAATTATCCGATATGCTGAAATAACAGCGGCTGCTATTTTTAATTTGTGCAGCAAAGTAAATGTCAGGACATTCTCAGTGAGAACGCAACCGGACACCCACCCAGCTTTTTCAGAGCTGGCACGTAAAAAGTTAACAGCCAGGAAACTTGGATACGCCACTCCTTGAATTACTGAAGCAGCAAGCAGCCGGAAAGCCTTGGCGTAAATTAAAATTTCATTCAAGTTTGTTAGATTGTACTGCTGGACAGAAGAGAAAAAAGAAACTATTCATTTATCTGGGGCAGCCTCCTGCTGTTCCTCACAGAGCAGGAGCAGCTCCCATGTGCCCTGGTACGCAGCACTGCAACCTTGAGCCCCGTGCCTGAAACAAGCGGGAGGAGTGATTAATGATTTTATGCAAATGCCAATAACCGAGTGGCAGGTTCTTTCCAGGGTATTAGCTGTCAGTTCACAACAGAAAGAAGTTAAATTAAAAGAATCTGCATCCAAGGCATTTTTATATGTAATTATTATACATTAATTATAGTTACTGTGGGTATTATAATTATTACACCTAATTGATATGTAATTATAATTTAACATATAATTTTACTATATATATACACGCACATTTTTATACATAAATGTATGTATATAGAATTAGTTCCTCAAATTAGGAAAGCCACGTTTCCAATCCTCCAGCAACATTCCTGCAGGACCCCATACTTGTGCAAAACTTACCCACGGATCATTTACAAGGAACGTAACAGCATTGCAGTAGCACAGGGGATAGCACAGATCTAACCTTACAGCCCTAACATCGGCCTTCCGAGGGCAGCGTTACCCCCCGAAGGGGGTACAGCCCCCCGCCCCGAGCACAGCCAGCAGCATGCTGCCCACAGGACCCACACCAAGTCATCAGGGCTACGCAGGGTCAGCCAGAACCACGCAGGCGCGTCAGAAGGGGATGCCGCGTCGTGCTCGAGCCACCTTTTGTGGTCTGTATGTCTGGTCTCACTAGTGAAAATGACGTGGTCGCTTGGTTCGGTGCCTACGTGCTCGGTGATGTTTAACCTGCGTGGCTCGTCTGTTCTGTTCTATTCTATTCTTGGGGATGCCCAGTCCCTAAGCCTTCTGGAAACGTCCCCTCGGCAAAAATCCTGCAACTCTCCCTTGCTGCGCACTCTGTTTCACTGTGTGCCCTATTTTCCTCATCTTCTATAACTGGCTGCTCTGCCCAGAACCTCTCCCTAAAGTCAAGATATCCTTGTTTATAAACAAGTCTACACAAGCCTAATCCTCCCCCGCCCCACAAAGCTGTTTTTCACAAGATACTGTGCAGCAAATTATTTTTATTCACCTACCATCAAAACACATTAGCTTTATGTTCCTTCCTTATCTTATCTTACAAATTCTTTGAAATTTCTAAATTTGCATGATCCGCATTTAATTAGTGTCTTAATTATTTTCCCCTCTCAACAATCTGGCAAAATACTGAGCAGTTGACCCAGAATGGACCTGAATCAGTAACTGCTCCCAATCTGCCACTTACTAATTGGGTCTTGTGGGGGTGGGGGGGGGGGGGGGGTGTTAGGCTAATTATGTGTATTTATTGATCTAGGACAGTTTATAAGAATGTCCTCTGACAATGTATCATTCTCCTGAAAAAACACCTAGCAGATTGCTTCCTTTTATTCCTCAAATTGGCAAATGGAAGTGATAATGTTAACACTTAGGTGATCACACACTACATTACTTTTCATCACATCTTCTGGAAGGCAACAAATGAAATACTGTATTATAAATTATTATTATATTCTCTTATTAAATTGTTATTATTAAATTCCAGAAAAATATCTAGATGAAAATTAAGTTTCTCAATCTGAAACTCCACATTTCCAAGCTGTTTTGTGAACTGGTCCTAGGCTTTCCTTACTTTCCTCTCAGCTTTCCTTTGTTGCTTATCCACATGCATCCGCTTTGCCTAGTCTGTCATTCCTGGTGCCTGCCTATGGATTCTGGATGCCTTGGTAAGTCTAGGAGTGTCCGAGAGCATAGCAGAGGGCAATGCAGGCAGCATCCCACGTGGAATTCGCCCCACTGAGTGCCCCTTCCTCATCAAAGCCCTGACCCCAAACAGCAGCGCAGCCCCAGGCTCTGCCGGGATCGTCAGCATCTCTTAGTGTGGCCAGCAGGAGCAGGGACGTGATCATGCCCCTGTACTCGGCACTGGTGAGGCCGCACCTCAAATACTGGGGTCAGTTTTGGGCCCCTCACCACAAGAGAAGGACATTGAGGTGCTGGAGCGTGTCCAGAGAAGGGCAACGAAGCTGGTGAGGGGTCTGGACCACAAGTCTGAGGAGGAGCGGCTGAGGGAACTGGGGTTGTTCAGTCTGGAGAAGAGGAGGCTGAGGGGAGACCTTATCGCTCTCTACAACTACCTGAAAGGGGGTTGTGGTGAGGTGGGTGTTGGTCTCTTCTCCCAAGTAACTAGTGACAGGACAAGAGGAAATGGCCTCAAGTTGCACCAGGGGAGGTTTAGATTGGATATTAGGAAAAATTTCTTTACTGAGAGCGGCCAAGCATTGGCACAGGCTGCCCAGGGAGGTGGTGGAGTCGCCATCTCTGGAAGTGTTCAAAAAACATGTAGACATGGCACTTGGGGACATGGTTTAGCAGTCATGGTGGTGTTGCATTGATGGTTGGACTTTATGATCTTAGAGGTCTTTTCCAACCTTAATGATTCTGTGATTCTTCTTCTTGGAGCTGAACAGCAAAAAGGAAAAGCCAGCTTCAGCATCTGCCAGGTATTTTATTGCTACTGTACAACACAGGTGGCTAGATGAAGGGACTTTTTTCCTTGTTTAAAGGGCTTTTTGTTACTAACACTGCACTGGCTGTGGCGTGCTGTTGCTTAGCTTGAAACCTGTTCTAGCTCAGCATCTGGCAGAGATGTTCCTGAAACTACATTTCACTGTCTCCC